CGAATACTGAAAGAGCATTGAAGAAGAGCTAAAGCCCTTATTTCTGAGAATGTTAAGATGATAAGGGAAGATGGCTGAAATAAACCATTTAGGACGACTTTTCCCTCAATAGTAACAAAAAAATCTTTTTTTGTTTTGTTTTTAAAATTTTATTTTTCAGATCCCTAGATGAGATGGTGGTGCTAAGAGAATGCGAGGCCGCATTCCATCAGGATGACGAGCAGTTGTGGGATGGCATCGTTCATTATAATCGGATGACGCGACAAGCTGTGAGAATAAATCTTTTACCTTTTTCGATGATGAAGTCAGATGATTCCGCCATTAAGACGATGACGCTATAAAAAGATGTTTGCATGTAAAAGACGATTCCTTCTCTTCATCTGTAAATAATCTCATCTATTTCCTTCTACGTATGTAATTACTTTGTAGTTTGTAGCAACTATTCATGTTTCATTAAATATCCAAGTTTTACATAAATCGGACTAGTTTATTAGCCCCTAGACAGCCACATCGGAAGTAAGTTTACAAACATCATATTCCTAGACAGTAAGTACCGATTCTACATTATGATAGGAATGAGTTTCAAGGCATGAACTGCCAACTTTGACTTTTGTTTACTTTAGTTATTATTTATTCTTACCTTAATTATTATTACTAGCTTTAGAAGAGACATCAACGTCTTGGTCAATGTGATTCAGAAAGTATTGGGGGGGGGAAGGAAAGAAGAATGAAGTGGATAAAAAATGTGTGTGGCGCAAACGTACTTTACGTCATAAATGTTTACGTTTGCAAGTAATATTTTCAAAAATGAAAATAATCAAAAATAATCCTAGGAAGTTCATTGAGCAGTCAAATTGTTTTTTTTTTAATTTTAATTCTCTTCTTGCTCTCTATGAGTCAACAGCAATACTAACACACAACACACACATATATATATATATATATTATATATTATGTATATTATATATGTATTCGAGGCAGATCATTGAGGACTGAAAACAAGGGTTGAAAGTTGGATAGGGCTCAGGTTCATTCGTTAGTCCTTTTAATTTAAGACATTGTTTGATTTGTTAGAGGATCGTTGTAAACTAGTATTTCGTTGTAAAATAATTGCTTAATGATTAAAATATTTATTTTTATGAAACTCTGCCTTATTATTGTATTCTATATAACGGCAGGCAAAGGAATTAAAAAGGGCTTTGTTCTTTGCTTAAGATATCTCTCCGCCATACGTCACAAGGACCAAAATGGCACGTTCTATCTCGAAAAAATCCCATGGTATTTTGTAATGAAGTGATTAAAGCCTCCTTCTCTCTTTTTGGTTCTTGGATTTATGCCATGCGGAAGACAGTTTATCTTGGTTATGCAGATTTTTTTACCAGTATTTCAGATTTATGTTAAAAAAAATTGGTGTTCCAGACATAATACTACACTTGCCGCCATGTTAAGCTGTCGGATATTTTTAACATGCGCAGTGGGTGATTTTATTAATTGCTTTTTTTTTTCGTAATTTACTCCTGATGTATTTACGCGATTAAAAGTAGAAAAGACCCCACAGAAATGTGCTTGCATGAGAATTCTAAAATGTATTAAATGACATGCTTATAATAACGATAAGCTAGAAGCGATTTAATTCTGGTTAATATTAATTGGCTAGCAAAAGAATGGCATCATTCCTATGCCAATTTATGTAGCGGCAAGTATAAATGTTCGCTTGGGAGAATTATATAATACAATGGGTCGTATTAATTGGTAAAAAATTGAGTGTCATTATTTAATCTAAATCTACTTGAGTGTTTGATTTTATTAACATTAATCTTGCAATTTACTGATTTTTATGTCCTTGAAAAAGAAGAATAAAAACCGCGTACAATCGTGCATGAAATCTAGATCATTTTGAGTTCATAGACAACAAACTATAACAAATTTAATAACAGAAGTAATAGAAATAAAGAAATTCTTAGTATGGAAGAGATTTCTGCTCTTTTTTGGCAGAATAGCTGGATATTTTGGACTGTTTGTCGGAAACATCATTAGAAGTAAAAGAGTGATTTTTCATTATTGAAAAAGTATTTTTCAATCGAATCATTGTATTGATTACTAGCAGCTACGCGTCCAGCTTTCGCCTGGCTTTTAAATGTACCAGAAAAGTGCCTAAAGAAAACACCAAATATTAAATTTAAAAACTGCACAGAATTTTACTCTGCAGAACAACTTTACCCACCCACCCTCCAAAACAAAATTCTGGGGATAAATACTGTATGTCCTTTGCCCTTTCCAGTCATAAGTTAGCTTCGACGATGTTATTCAATGGCTGTTTGAAGACCGTCCTTCTTCCATTACATAGTTTTGGTGAGTTGAGATTTCTGAGTAATTTTCAGTAGAAAGCAGTGTAATGTCATTCCTGGTACTTGCAAAGAATTTAAAAATTCTGTGGGGAAAGTTAACACTTTCTTCAACATTTACCATCGAGTCAATCGATTTGTATATTCTCTCTTCATCGGGAGTCCCACCCATACGAAAAAGGCTTCGAATGGTACACAATAATCCAGAACATTCCACACCTGTCGAGAGTGTTCTGGAATGTTCCACAATGATCCGGGATGTTTCCGAACATTCCAAACTATTCCCCAATATTTTGCAACATTCCAGAATGTTCCGGGATGTTCTGGAATGTTGTGGAATGCTCTCGAATGTTCTGGACTGTTCCAGAAATTTCTAGAGGGCGAAATTTCCCTTCACAAGCACGCCCTTCAGGCAAAAACGGGAACCTTTTTCATGAATGGGGAATAGAAGGTTACAACATCCCTTGATACCGAGACTCGTTTCTGAGTTTTAGCGGCATGTACATTGTACACTTTTGTAATATAGTATATTCATTACACTAGCTAGACTCATTAAAATCATTATACATTTTTCCTTTATTATGATAACTACTTTAGGTGGCTGGCTGTACAAGTGGCTAGTGGTATAAATGGTATGTTCTTCTGTTGGGGGGAATAATTAGATTCAAAATAAATATTAGTTAAAAATACACTAAAAAATGAAAACTTTGTTCAAGCAACATACTTTTCGCTTTATGATTTTGTGAGATTTATCTGTTTATTTTCAATTAACAGTTCATTTTAAGTTGGAAAACTTTCCCATTACTCTCTTTTCACCCATGCTTTTCATGCCATTCAAATGAGATAGCGAGAGTTTATTAAGTTAGAGAGAAGTGCTATTTAAGAAAGAGTTTCGGAAGTGTCTGTCTATTCCACGCCACGTTGTGCTGTGATTATTAGCGACTTGCGGTAGGGACGTTGCGTATTCTAGCCATTCAACTTTATCTCGCTGGTTTATTACAAACCAGAGCCCTTCCTGCGAGTTAAAATATTTTGTGAGTCGTTAAAGCTACTCTACTACAGAGGCTGTTCACACATTTTTTAGACGATGTATATTGTATTCACAAAACTAAATTACATGAAATTCATGTGTTTTAAATGTTCTTTTTGACATCCCTTATTCTGAACTATCTTTCGACACCGCAATTTCCAGGATAATAATGCCTTTTGAAGTGGCAGAAGAAGTATTCGATCCCATCGATGAAGGGTATGGCCTTGATACCAGTTTTCTGTTCCATTTCTTTTAGGAAATTTACAGTGGATTTTGAGTGCTAGCTTTGTCCTGATGGGGTCTCACAGATTGATGGCACTGTGGGTAAAACGGTGGTATTTCATTCAGAAAAATTGGCGATAAAATATGTTCCTGATAGTATTTGAAGTTAATCTTGACATTTTTTTGCACTCTCTTTATTTTTAACTTGCCATTATAAGAAAAACCAGCAACAATTATGAATCCCTTATAAAAAACTTTCTTTCGATTCTTTGAACCATGTACTTAAATTCCCCCCCCTTTTATGATAATAAATGGCTCTTTTTTCTTACAGTCATTTAAATACACCCATGCTTCATCTATTGTGACAATTGTTTTCCATTTTACTTCGGATAAGTGTTTCTCATATAGAATTCTGAAGCGTGTTCTTCGTTAAACGATATGCTTTGGAAGAAGACGATGCACATTGCATTTTTTCGCTTTCTTAAGATTTAAATGAACGTTTATCGTTTTGTTTACAGTGGACACCGAGCATTTTAATGATTTTGAAACTGTCCTTTGACTAAAGGGATTTTTTTTTAACATTAAACAACGTACCTTTGCAATAGTCGAAGATGTCCGTTTTTTCCTTGGATACTTGTTTGGAATTTTTGTCCCGCTTGAGGCTCCAAGTTGACGTTTGTTTCCTTTCTTGTTGATGATATTACCTATCGACGCTTTAGATATCACAAAACCATGACTCTCACATCGTTTATGGATAACGGAGTATGCATATTTCTCTTCGGAAAGAGCGTAAATGTAGCCTTCGAACCATTGCTTTGTTAAATTTGCCATTTTGAATAAAAACAAAACTTTCAAGCCACAGACGATAATTTTGACTTTTAAAAACATAGTACAATTGCAATTACTTCTTTTGCAGTAAACGATTTTTTATTACCGCTTACCAAAATTGTCTAAAAAATGTGCGAACAGGCTCTGAATACCTTGAATTTATTGTTTGTTACGTATTTCTGTTAAGCCAAAAGCGATTGGCTTCTTGTAACCTACATTGGGTCATTTATTAATTTTGTATTTGAATAAAAAGGGTCTTATACACCCTTCTTCTGATTTCTGTTTTGTTTCACAAGTCTGAAGATAACTCTTCAAAAGTCCTTTTACAAAGTCTATATTGCATGTTCTCAAGGAGACATAGGCTTTACAATTTAATAAAAGAATATAAAATTTTCGAAACCTAATACAAAATTAGCTTTCTTGTATTATATAAGTATGTGTAGTATGTACTTTAATGGTACTTCAGTAGCTCCAGCGAGTTACAAACACTATTTTAAGACATTCACAACAAAATGCAGTACTTTTTCTGTAAATTCACTTTTTACAGTAAAATCCTCTGAATTAGATTAACTTACCGTACACTTTGCTGGTAACATCCGGCGACAGCTGAATCCGCAGCTGAGCAAACTCAACCTTTTCGGAGCTCGGGAAGTTATGCAAGTTGAATGTCACTGACCGAATGGTAGAATGGTCATCTTCAGTAAAATTCTTCGTTTGAATCCAATGAGTCGGAGTATCTGTTCGAAGGAAAATTATAAATGTCAGTATAAAAGATTTAAAGGATATTCAATAATCTGGAAAATATTTCAGAAGCAAAAACATTCCGAATCCCAATGTCAAGAAAGTAGATTTCGGGGCACTGCAGGCCGTGGCCCACTAGGGTTGTAGCGCCACTGATTTAAGTTTAAAAAACATTTTCATCATTAGAATAGAGAAGTGCAAGTTCCTCGAATCAAATCTCGAGGTAAAATAAAATTTTGAAACGAAAATTATAAAGCACTTACATTAGTTGTCTAGTTTAGAGTCTTTAGTCATTAGTTTTCTAACTTAGATTAGTTTTAAAATTGAACATACGGTCATCATATGTAAAAAAAAGGCCTTCAATGCTTTACAAAACTAAGTAATTTTCTGATGGGAAATACTAGATTGAATTTATATGAGTGTTAAAGATTATACATTGAAGCACCTTTTCAATTGAAGAGTTGAACATACGGTCATCATATGTAAAAAAAAAAAGGCCTTCAATGCTTTACAAAACTAAGTAATTTTCTGATGGGAAATACTAGATTGAATTTATATGAGTGTTAAAGATTATACATTGAAGCACCTTTTTCAATTGAAGAGTTGAGATTAAGTTATTTAAATCCTTTTTCTGAAACCATGAGCCTATGATTACCCGTTCAAGAGAGATTTATTGTGCAATATTTCAGAAAGCTGTGCGTGTAATTTGCACACGAGTGACCCCCCCCCCCCCAAAAAAAATCATTTCTTAAGCACAAGAATGAAAATGCAGAAACAAAGCTGACATGGAAAGATTTTAAAAGAAGTATTTCTAAGTAATTTAATGAATAAGAACGTAGTAGTAATAAGTTGAAGTACTATAAGAAGACATCAAGAACTTTAAAAAGTATGCAAAACAAAATACTTTAAAAGATCTCAACAAAGAGCAAAGTTAGTAAAGTTCACAAGCATATAAAACATGACTTTAAAATTAATATAACTCCTTATGAAGCGGAGAATTCGGTAGCTGAATTAAGAAGGTAATTTTTAACTAGGTCACGTAGAATTACAGAAATGTCTGTAAGTTTCTTCTAGATTTTAAAGCAATATTTTTATTTAAGCACTTATAACCTTTTATAAAAGAAACAGAGTACCGGACAGGCTATTCGTGATGTTTAGTTTTATACTAATCAAATCTTCTAAATATAAATTTTAAAACTCTATTAGATGTTTAGGACTGTTGGTTACCTAAAACTTTTCGCGAAAACAAAACATCTGATGTGTACACTGCATGACTTCCTTGTACGGAGTATTAAACTATACGCAATTTTCCTGCATTTTATTTAAACATATTGAATTAACAGTTAATAAATTTGGAATTAAATCTACTTCGTCGATAGCCCATAAACCATAATAGAGCATATGCTCTCTTTAAAGTTCACTATATTTATTTACTATAGCGACACTTCGGCGCTAAGTTCACTTAACAATGTTATATCTCACTCATTTTATAACTCAGAGTGCACAAAAATTATATCATCTGAAGAATTACCACCAGTTCTGTTCAAATACTATAATAAATCTAAAACAATGTATAAAAGAAATTAAACAGATAAGAAAGAAATAGTTTTTCACAGACGATTTCAGCGTCGCTTGCCTAATGCGTATGCGCTACTAATTAATTCAATTCTCTCTTCGCATCAAGGCAAAAATACATAAAAATTCAAAATATTTTCATTAAAAATTGAAAGATACAGAAAAAAATGAAAAAACAAGTACAGTTAAAGCAATTAAAAAACAGTTTTTGCAATTAAAATTATAGTTTATACGCAAAAACCAGCTAATAAATTAAATGATGACTCCAGAATGAATTAAGCATAATTTAATTCCCAATAATAAAAGAAGACTTTACTTTGTTGTTGCGAAGCTTAGTTTCTCTAGATTGGCAACAAATCCACTATTCTGCTAAGTTTCAAATGTAAACGAATACGGCTGCTATCGTAAACAAAATAAGGCTTAGTCGCACTTCAAAAACTTTTTAAATGTTTATAATTCCACAATTATTGCATGCAGATTAACTATAGGCATAAAAATCTTAATTGGAAAATAAGAAAAACATAATTCATTAATTTTTAAAGCAAAAAATGCACAACTTATAAATATATAAGAATAAAGAAACTGAGCTCACTGAGCTGAGTAACATAATTGATATGTATATACATATGTTAACATACTTTTGGTGCTGCCGATTGCAACCAAAATAGGAGGTGTACATCTATCTACACGTTATAGCAGCCATATATACAAAATTTCAACGTTCTGAGAATACTCGTTTTTGAGTTATGCGAGATACAAACGTACATACGTACGTGTACGTACAGATGCCACGAAAATCATTTTAAATCAGTTTTATAATTTTTTGGAAAGAAAAAAGTCCTTTATTCTTACGTACAGATATCACGCAAAGATATGCTTAAATTTGCATTCGATAGCGGTCAGAATGGATATTTTCGTAGAAATATGCAGTGGCGTAGCTAGGGTGGGGCGAAGGGCGACATCTGTCCCCAAGCGGAGCATTCAGGGGGCGCCAAATTGATGTTACGAAACTTTTAGAATGAAATGTTTTCCATTCTTCGCACAGAGAAAGGGGCACAAAATCTTCAGTTGTCCCCGGGCGCCGAAAACCCTAGCTACGCCTTTGGAAATATGGTACCCGGAATTTTTCGCGATTCAATACTTCTTTTTTAATACGTACAAAGAAGTAAAAAGAACCAACAGCTAGTGAAATTAAAACCTTAGTACAACTAACAGGCTTTGCTTGTTTTTACATTCTTCGGATCTCAAACCCGTGTGACTTTTTCTTGTGGGGCTATGTTATGTTAAGGAGGCTGTTTACGTCCCATAGCTACCAACAAACTGTGGCCGGCTTGCGAAAGCGTGCGTGTAACTGCTGCGGGTTGTTACTCAAGTAACACTAGACAACGGTTTTCGCGTTGCGGACGAGTTTGCCTTCTGTATAGATGTTTCCCGTGCAGCGAAGGGGGGATACACTGAACATTCACAACCTGTGTACACAAACTTTGAAACTTCCTCTTTAAATTAGCTTGTAGATAGTTCATGTCAAATTTATACTTCCTGAAATACAAAGTGATTCAATTGAATCCTCTTTCTTGAATAAGCCCGTGTAATAATTTGAGTATTTTCTCGGGTCTTGCTAGTAATAACAATAAAAATAAAAATAGAAGTAACATTAATTAATAAAAAAAAAATCTTATAGGTTTCAGATTTTATATTATGTCCGAGGAGGCGTTTTTTTTTATCGTTCTGTGTGTTACCTTTATTTATTAAATATCACGTTCTACGTACTCAAACTATAAAATTCAGTTCAACAGCAATATCTCTAAATAAATTTTAAATGAGCATATCTTTAATATTTCCGATACAGAGACTCGCACGCTGGAGATAAAAATGTTTTCTTTTTTCGTACAGTGTTGCCATTGCTGGCTTTGAAATCGTTTAGTTTGTTAATCAAAAATTCGTTAAAGTATTACAAAATTTGGAATCGATAATAAAACAAATTTCAAATTCAAATTAGGGCTTCCACATGCCTATATTCTATGGAAGATTACGTTATTCAAATTTTAATGGCTCTAGGTACCGTTGTTTTATCACAATGCGAGAAGCATACATACATACATTCATGCAGATTCTTCATTATTTAATTTCTTTAAATATAATACAGGGCTGTAATATTTGGTAGCAACAATTGGAAAAGTGAAACAACGCTTATCGTGAATCGACGCAAAATGCCAAAACGAAATTAATAGTCCTTCTGGGCAAACTGCCCCTTTGGACTAATAGTAATTAATAATACTGCGTTTATAGTTTTTAAATCGCTTAGCTTGTTAATCATTAACAGACAGATTAAAATTGAAAAAGAAATTAAATATCTTACGCTTTGCCGAAGGACAACACCCTGACGCGCGCTGAAGATTAAAATATTTTATTAAGGATAGTTTCAACAGTTCTATTTTAAATTACTGAGTTTGTCGCCTAAATTTGAAAGATAAATGTATCACAATTTGCGGAGTGGCAACACTTTTAATCGCTGAAATTTCTGATTCATTTTGAAACATAAATATCTTACGCTTAATATAATCCACGGAATTTTTTACTCAAACTGCATTAATTTCGCGCAAAATCTGAAATAAATTTTAAAAACAACTCCATAATTTAAAATTCGATCTTCTAGGTGCATATATTTGGGGGGGGGAAGGATTATTTATAGGAGAGGGTTTTTCTACAATACAAGGAACGTACATACATACAGATTCTTCATTATTTAACGCATGACTTTAATTTCGAAAGATCAAGCAGTTTTAAGGCAATTTTTTAAAGGTTATTTTGACAGTCTCAAAGAAAAAAAAAAATCGCGCTTTTGCACTTCGAAGACTTCGAAGAAACCATAGTCGACCTCGACTTTCGACACTTGGCAGACAACCAGAGAAATTAATGAATACGAAAGACTATCGTCTCTCTCTCTCTCTTGCACCCAAATAAACTTATCTCCCGCTATTTACCCTCTGAATATCTCTGCTTAGCACCTCACGGTCACTACCAAGGTCCTGTCAAGGTCATTAGACAGACAAGGTTATGCTATTTCAAAGTTAACTCTTTCACTACGCTTAGAGCATGGACCTTATAAGAAATAGACTAACCCAAATGGGTTTTCTCCCTCGTCTGAGGCGTTCCCGGCTGTCAACTTGATCACATCGGAAGGAGTAGGGACGACTTGCAGAAATTTAACAGTGGCTGCTTATTGCAGCGTGTATAATTGTCAAGAAAAAGCTGGCTGTAGCGCATCATTTCACAAATTAGAATTTCTCCATATTTTTATTTTTGAAATTGAGATTCATTTTTAAAAATTTAGCATATTTATCAAGCATAATTAATGTTCCAAATAATTATAAAGCTGTTGCATGCTTCCAGGGCTGGATATTTTTTTAGCTTTTTCTAT